CAACTCAAAAAAAAAAAAAAAAAATCTCAACAAAATACAAAACCCAGTAACACATCAGCAAGGTAATATGCCTCCAGGCACAGTGGCTCACGCCTGTAACCCCAGCTCTTTGGGAAGCAGAGGCAAGAGGATTGCCTGAGCTCAGGAGTTTGAGACTAGCCTGGGCAGCTTGGCGAGACCTCGCCTCTACAATAAATAAAAAAAATCAGCCAGATGTAGTGGCATGCACCTGTATTTCCAGCTACTTGGGAGACTGAGGTGGAAAATTGCCTGAGCCCAGCAGTTGAGGCTGTGGTAGCTGTGATTGTGCCACTGCACTCCAGCCTGGGTGACAGAGTGAGACTCCAACTCAAAAAAAACAAAGGTGATATGCCATGATAAAGTGGGATTTATCTCAGCAGTATAAGAGTGGTCCAACATATGCAAATTAATAAATGATGATGCATCACATTAACAGAATGAAAGACAAAAACCATATGATCATCTTAATAGGCCAAGAAAAGGCATTTGGTAAAATTTAACATTTCTTCATGATAAAAGTTTTCTCAATAAATTTGGAATGGAAGGGAAATACTTCAACATAATAAAAGACATAAGACAAACCCACAACTAAATTGTACTGAGTGGGGAAAAGTTGAAAGTCTTTCCTCTAAAGAATTGGACAAGACAAGGATACCCACTTTCACCAATCCTATTCAACATAATATTGTAAGTCCTAGCCTGAGCAATCAGGCAAGAGTAAGAAAGAAAAGGTATCCACATTGGAAAAGAGGAAGTAAGTTTTTTCTTTTATGTTGAGGACCTGATCTTATATAGAGACAAACTTAAAGTCTTCACAAAAAAATTATAAAATGATAAATGGATTCAGTAAATTTGCAGGATACAAAATCGACATAAAAATCAGTACTGTTACTAATAACAAACTAGAAGAAATCAAGAAAGCAATTCTACTTCTAGATAGCTATTAAAAAAAAACACCTAGGAATAAATTTAAGTAGATAAAAGACCTCTACAATGCAAACTATAAAACAGTGATAAAAGAAATTAAAGAGAACACAAATGAAAAGGCATCTTATGCTCATGGATTGGAAGAACCAACATTGTTAAGTTGATTTTACTACCTAATCATTCTATAATTCAGTTCAATCTCTATCAAAATACCAGTTGTATTCTTCACCAAAATAGAAAAAATCCTAATTTGAATGGAACCACAAGAGACCCCAAATAGCCAAAGAACAAAGCTGGAAGCTTCATACTACATGACTTCAAAATATATTACACAAAGCTATAGTAACTAAAATAACATGGTATTGTTATAAAAACAGATATATAGACTCATGGAACAGAATAGACAACCCAGAAATAAAGCAACATATTTGCAGCCAACTGTTTTTGTTTTTGTTTGAGTCAGGGGCTCACTCTGTCACCCAGACTGGAGTGTAGTGGCACGATCACAGCTCACCACAGCCTTGACCTCCTGGACTCGGACAGTCCTTCTGCCTCAGCTCTTGAGTAACTGGGACTATAGGCACAGACCACCACACCTGGGTTATATTTTGATTTGTTTGTAAAGATTCGGTTTTTCTGTGTTGCCTACGCTGGGCTCAAGCATTCTTCCTGCCTTAGCTTCCCAGAGAGCTGGGATTACAGGCATAAGTCACCATGCCTGGCCATAACTGATTTTTGACATAGGTGCCAAGAACGTACATTGGGAAAAGGACATCCTTTTCAATAAATAATGCTGGGTAAACTGGATATCCTTATGCAGAAGAATGAAAGTAGACCCTTAACTCTCACCATATACAAAAAATAGCTCAAAAATAAATCAAAGCCTTAAAGATAAAACCTGAAACTACAAAATTACTAAAAGAAAATGTAGGGGAAATGTTTCTCAAGACATTGGTCTAGGTAAAGATTTTATGGCTAAGACTTCAAAAGCCCAGGCAACAAAAACAAAAATAAACTAAAGATACTATGTTCGTTAAAAACTTC